GCGCGCTAGGATCTACTGCTATCCAACTTGCATCGTGGTGAGCGTTCTTCTAGAGTTGAGACTCTGCACTGTTGTGCCAAAGACGTCACCACGTATCAGCAGTATATATTACAAATTCTCAATGACTACGCTAAATAACTACTCCAAGTGCGCAAGGTGGACGTTGTTGCCGACGGTGGCCTATGCATCACGTTAGTTTTTAGCTCACCAAGTAGATCACACGTACCGATTGCAGTGCCGCGGCCGTCGCAACACGCTCCATCGTGACGTGCTGAGCCAGAAATACCTGGCCCCGGCGGACGGCCTGGAGCTCGTTGCGAGTTGTGTCGAGTGCAGCAGCGACGCGGACATCGCTCGCAAAGTGACGCCTCTCTGTAACGCTAATGTCACGAGGGTGAGACTACAAGTGCACCGTCGTGCAGAGATGCAGCAGTGGTTTTGACGTTTGGGGACGCAAACCCAATGCGATAGTTGGCAATAGAGAACGGCACCATAGCTGATCTAGTAAGTGCTGAATAAATATTATCATAAATTCGCTCCACGCGACGTTTGCGCAACGCAGCGGCTTCTGCATCGCTACGATGCAGTCTGTCGACGCTAGCTCTCTCAGCCACAGCATCGCTCGCGATCGGCGGCCTTCTCCAACATGCATTTGGCGTCGAACTTCAACCACACGCTTCGGGCTTCCATTGAAGCTCGAAGTCCCATTAGCAGCACTCGCAGCAAGTGGCTCGAACAAAGAAAGTCCCGAGTGGCCGGCAGCGGCAAGAGCAACGGCGAGCTTTGTAGATCTGTCTGTGCCCGCTCTCTGCCGCGAGTACACTGATTTTTCCACAAATCCTCTGAATGTCAACGGCTACCAACAGATCCCAATGAGCAGCGGTGACCACATCATTGGCCAAGTGTGTACAACGAGTGTGTGACGTATCGGTTCATTGTGTATTACTGGTAGGAACCTCCTGGTTACCCAGCCCACCAGGGATTATTTGCCTGTTTGTTTTTTGTTTGTTTTTTGTTTGTTTTTTGCCTGTCCCATTTTGGATTGGTTAAAATGTTGTTGCTTGCGTAGTATGATTGGACAGCTCGCAACAATCTTGATGCGTTTTGACAGGCCGGCGCCATGTCGCTCGGTGATGTGCATTGACCGGCCGCTCTTGCTATAAAACGCCATGTAGCTAGCTAGCTAGACATTTAAGCAACATGCGAGCATCGAATGAGCGCAAGCGCAAGGCGCGCGCTGAGCAGAAGGCCACCGAGACGC